CTTAGCCCTAACCACCTCCAACCACGGCTCATCAGCCGGCTTCTGAGCCTCGGAGCCGACTCGGTATTACCTACTGGTTCAGTCTACCGACAGGGTGACTTTGCACTGTGTGCAGACGGCAGCGTCGGCACTGAGCTCGACACTTCGCCGACAATTTTGTCTGGGACCGCTGAGGGGAAACCACAGGGGAAGAGACGACAGGCTCAGATGTAGCCGGGACCGACTGACTGATACCTACACTACTAGCACGAGATCGAACGCCTCCTTATGGGAAGCGAACGTTCTCCTTGCCCCTACCACGCATCGTCTATACCAGTCTTTGGGCGTTTGGGACGGCGCGAGGCGGACTGCGGGGGCGCTATCGGTGGGGGGTTTCTTGACCTGCGTTTTCGCGGGTCACCTGGGACGGCTGGGGGGATGATGACCTAGGCGGCACAGCATACAGGTCATAATGACCACCGTCGATTACCCCAGTGTACCGCACATGAATTTCGGGGTGATCCGGGTTCCCATGGCGCTGCATAACCTGCCCATTGCGCCAGACGACGATGCGGCGCCTCACGACGGCAGCCGCCGCGGTCAGCTCCGGCTCGGCGCCCCACTCTGCCCTTGGAATCACCATTCTATACAGGTACTCTTCAAAATCTCCTACGATGAACCCCTCAAAGTCTGCGCGGTTAGCCCACATGTACGTCACTACCATGAAACGCAACATTTCCGCGTCGATGACCCCACCTCCGACGCCGCGCGAGATAGCATGGAACATACAATCCCCATCCATGGGCATGTTGATGATGTCTAGGTTCTGGGGACCACTTCCCGTTTTGACTACCTCCGCATAGGTGTTGAGCGCCATTTTCTTTTATTTGTATGGAAATACAACTAGAACAAAAAGCCAACTGGCTAACTGATCTGCGAACAAGTGTAAATCCAAGCGAGAAAAGGTTCGAAAAAACAAGGTGCGTGCAGAAAGGAACTAGAAACTGGCGCAACAGGCGCAACAACAAGAGGAAGTTTGCAGAGTGGCGTCTGGTGGTGAGCCTCTCAGCACTGCTCGGCAGATAGGACAGGACAGGCCTGGAAAAGGAAACATCCCATCAGGTGTTAGGACCGCTGATAGCTGCATCCTCGTGGGGTGCTATCCGTGAAAGGAGAGGTGGGGCACTTGCTGTGAGTTTTAGACACAACTGCAAGAAGTATTAGTCGAATAGTGACCATGTTGCGCACAAAATGCATACAGAATACACATGAATAGACCTCTGTCAAGCAGCGTTATGATTTGCAGTGTCCTTGGACGGTGACAAGAACTAACTGCTAGTAGGTATGAATCAGTATGCTGACTGACAAACATTTGCTAACAAAACGAGCAATTCAGCGAGTACTACAAATCAGTAATCAGTATCAGAAAAAATCTCAGATACCGTAAAATGGGGTGTTTAGGGACAGTGGGGTGATAAGGGACAGTTGCGTGGGAAAAACTTTGAGTCATGTTAAGTTCCTAATTTGAGAAGGTTAAATAAAAACTTGAGTGTGGTAGTTGACACTGTTTTGTTCTTGACTATAGGACAAAATGCCAATGTTTTTCATGCAAGTGATTTGGTTCAAAATGGTTATGAAAATAATGCTACATTTTCAAAAATTGAGACATCTCCAAAACTTTGTGTGTACCACATAAACTAGTAGGTGTACAGGTAAAATGAATGCACAGGTGTATTGTCACATGTAATGCATGCTCGACCACATTTGGATTATTGCATACAGGCAGAGGGGCCACATATGGCACAAGGTGTACACAAATTTGAAAATGTGTAAAAAAAAAGGTCAACAAAATTGTGCCAATCCATAGTCTGTCTTGTATCAAGAACAACAAAAACTGAGCCAATTGAGCCCAAACAATATATTACAATGACAAGATCTGATTGAGGTGTACAATATTATGACTGGCAATGTGAACATTGACAAACATCAATTCTTTGAATAGGTAATGAATTACAAGTAGATCCAAGAACAATAGATCAGCTGTCGAAACTTAGAAAAAGGAGAACTTTGCATCATTTCATATATATTACTGAACAGCTCTGGGAAATAAAAAATGGAAACCGAGGTCCTTAAAATTTGTTGGCATGAGGGTAGCTGAGTGGTTACCAGACTTTTTGAAGACCAAGGTTTCCATTTTTCTTCGAGAGGAAGTTCAGTAAGTTATTCCAATATGTGTGTTATCCATGACAGATATATATAAAAAACGACAATATATTCAAATACACAATTAAAAAACAATTTTTTTTTTTTTTTTTTTTTAATTGTGTATTTGAATATATTGTCGTTTTTTATATATTTCCAATATGTCATTTGGCTATCTATTCACAAACTCACAACTGTATTGTTTCAATCACCTTTAAAGGTATTTTATTATGAAATCACCAGTACTGTAGGCAGTGTTCTAAAATTGGATTTTGGTTGGGTGTGCTGATGAAGAAAAAAAGTATAGGATAAGAAAAAAGAAAGAAAATATCTGAAGTATTTTTGCAAAATGGTGTAATGCTAAATTTGTATGCCAACTGATAAACCAGGGCGGTGTTTCACGGGACGCTGCTACCACGCTGCTATCAAATTGCGCGAGCTGACGTCACACTTGTGGTAGTGTTGGAGCAATGGGCCTGTTGATGTTTCCATGGAAACCCAATTTGACACGTGTAAAAGCAGCGTGCTGCTATCACCGGTGAAACAGGGCCCATGATTTCATGTCAGGATATTGACAGGGTGTGAAACAAAAGGATGTGAGTGCATCAACTGTCAAGTGGCACGTAAACTGATTGTTCGAATGCATGATACCTTTCTCAGAGATGAAGTAGTCAGTCATTCATATTTTTGGGATGAAAATATTTTCCTCCAGGTGTGCTTTGCCACCAAAAAGTCTGAGAAATGGAACACTGCCAGTTCATCAACCCTTGCCGGAAGACAGTGCAGGAAAGATCACTTGCAATGTTTCCTGCATGGCTAGGATAATGCTTCAGGGATATCTCATCTCGGCGTATAGGAAGCAAGTTTTTCACCAACAGAATTGTGGAATCACATCATGTGGTCAGTGCGGATGCATCTATCCATGCCGCTTGTGCCACACATCTTATATCATATCTATGCTGCAACCCGCTTGTGAAAAATTGCTAGAGCCTTAACTCACCAATTCTTGAGACATTTATGTGAAGTTCATTGGTCAACTCACTGGCTGCTTGCAAGGCAGACATAGCACATGTGTTTATTTGGTATAAATTGCTACTCACCAACTCTTGAGAATTGAGATATTCCACAAAGTCCGCAAAGTCGTGGCGCAAGCTACCATATGCACGGAATTGCACCTTTCTCACCAAACCAAAAAGGGTGGTGTTTCACTGTTGATAACAGCACGTTGCTATTACACACATCAAATTGGGTTTCCATGGAGACGTCCACAAGCCCATTGCTCCAACACTACCATAAGTGTGACATCAGCTCGCAAAATGGAATAGCAGCATGCTGCTACCACCGGTGAAACGCTACCAAGAAAACAGGGCCCTGTTTCACCGGTGATAGCAGCACGCCGATTTTACGACTTGTCAAATTGGGTTTCCATGGAGACATCAACAGGCCCATTGCTCCAACACTACCACAAGTGTGACGTCAGCTCGCAAAATGGAATAGCAGCATGCTGCTACCACCGGTGAAACGCTACCAAGAAAACAGATCTAACCAAACCTTAACTGCTACCTACAGCCTACTTTTTAGAAACTACAACCAACATATCACAAATGGCAGCTCGTGCCGTGTGCCCTAATACCAAATGCCTTACAAAAAGTTACGAGCCTAGAGCCCTTTCCCAAATCTATGACAGAACAGGTGGACATGCCATGAGTACCTTAAATGATTTATCTCAGCATTTTACATCAACATTCTGCACACAATCCAGTGATCCTAGAAAACAAGAGCAGTCTCAAGAATGAGTAGGTAGGTACGGCCTTCCAGTTATTAAGTGGTTGGTTGCCAACATCACAATACTCGATCTGCACTGATGTATACGTCTAATGGCTATTGAAAACCACTGTCGAAATGTGTGCACGAACCCTCTTCTCATTTCTATTGAGTCATTTTACAGGAGTATCTGTCATTCAAAGCTATTTCACCAAAATCACATAGGCTAACCAACCACTCTTGCTGGAGGGCCGTACCTGGCCTTAAAATTTGAATTATATGGCAGCACCTGAAACACCCACTATGAAACTACCCTAAACGCTTTATCTCAGCATTTTACATCAGCATCCAGCATCATGTAGGCAGGAAAATGATTGTTTTCAGCTTCAAGCGGGTTATATATGCGTCGGAATTGCCGCATCATAAACTTCTAGCCATAAATAGCTTCAGCATGGGAGAAAAGCAAAAAACAACACTATCCATATTTTCCACAAACCAATACCATTAATTTTAGCAGTATACATACACTTCATAATGTCAAATTTCCACGTAATATCTATCCGAATAAAATGTCAACCACCTACCTTCTAGCTCATGCCGAAACAGGCCGTTAGAAGTGGCGGGAACGCCGGGAACGATTACTTTACTGCGGGAACAAGTGTACTTTTAAATTATTCAAATTTTGGGCTGCAAACTGGAGCGACAGACCCTTATTTGTTTATATAAGTTCTTTAATTTTATCATATAATTAATAAAATGGCGCGAAATAAAAAATACTTTACATATTTTCAATGAAACCTATGGTTGCAAATAATTATATTATTATTTTAGTCATTGATACAATTATGAGCTACAACTTGGCGCATATGTGTCAATAATGATTTATTTGAAGCTTTTTGTAAACACTTTTGAAGTGTGCATATTTTTATCCCCAAGAGAAATAACAAACAAGGTCTCTGCAATAATGAGAAAAGCAGACATGCCAATGCTCCGAAAAAAATCGACCGATTTTAATAATTTCAGCACAATTCGATAGCGGAGACCGAGGATCGTTGCCGTTTTTCGGTGATAGATTACTCTGGGCGGACCAACAGGCAACAAGAGTGAGGACCAAATTGGTCCAGATTCCAGCACCCCCCCCCCCCCCCGCTAAAAGCAGACGAGCCCATAGGGCTGTTCGGGTCCCTGCAGCATAGATCTGTGTACTGCGTGCGTCATACTTGGGTGACGTCAGCCGCCCGGCTCCACCCACCCTCCGCCGGCACGCCGGGGCCCAGCGCCGCTGCAGCCTGCAGCCTGTTCCAACCGTGGCGCTTACGGACTGGTAATTGTCGTTCAAATAACGGTTAAAATGCGTTCAAATATGGTCAATACCAATGTGCCACTGAAAAGAGTGAAAATTAGTGGTAATGAGTAAAAGAGTGATGATAAAAGGGCGTGACTAACACATCTGGATCCACCGGGCCCAGTCTAGCTCTAGGTATAAATGTGGTAGTATATTTAACCCTCGCATGTGTAGGGGGGTCGGATGGACCCTCCCTCGGTTTTTTCGCGAATAACTCGCGTAAAAAGCGGCTGATCGCGACGAAACTTTCAGTACACTCGAAATGATCAATTCTACACCTACCCTGAAATTTCATGACCCTGACCCAAATCACCTTTGACCTGTGACCTACTTTTCAAGACCAGGTTTGGCCGGAATCGCGATTCGGCGTATGTCGGCTCGCATTAGCACTTCGCATTAGCATCAATTTTTCTTTACGAATTTGACATCGTACACCAATGTAAATAGCACTATCGTGTTCCTGAGCTCAAACTGCATCTAATAGACATGTTTTTTTGTTGAAAAATTTCAGCTTTGAAATTTGACCTGAAAGTGACCTGACCTCAACTATATGCAGATGAAAATGGCCTCAAATGACACAGGCGACACCGAATTCGAAATCTATGGCCCAAATGGACCATAAAACATGTGTCACGTGACCGACTTATGACATAGGATTTCCGTGACCTATGATGACCTGACCCTGACCTGAAAATCAAAATACGTTCCCTCAGGGTATCTGTTCACGAGTGTGTAAGCCAAAAATCAGCCTGATCTGACTTGTAAGACGGCAGCCAGAGCCCAGAAAGTGAACAAGCCAAATATCGACAACTTTTTACTTTGACCTGACCTGTGACGTTATCGGTGACCTCGAGGTCAATGAAATTAGGTTTCGTTCGACAGTTTTTCCGGGGCTATCAGATGCCGTTTGAAATTTGACGATCGGCCCAGTAGTTTCGGAGTTAGGAGGGGTGCTATGAATAGCCCCCCCCCCCCGTGGGGCGTGTTATACACAGACCCCAGTGGGGCGCGGGTTAAGTTTGTCGAGAGATGCGTAGGGGTGACAGACCCGAGTCTAATTTTTGCTTGAGATCCAGTGAGATCATAGATCCTCATTTACTTTTGTCAACTCAGAAATCCCAGCAACTCACTCGTTGCAACTTGCAAGTCACAAACGTTCAGTTTTAGAGCTTCTATGTGATTGCACGTCATATCCACAATTTTGTGGCACTTGAAAACCCTGGTTTCAAATGTTGTGCATGGTGCGATCCACTCAGATCATAGATCAATGTTCTTGGTTTATCGTCCAGTAGCGGCGGAACACCTTCAATTAAGGGGGGCACTGCCGACTTTTGGTCCCATTCTTTCCGTGCAACGCCCATAGGCCTAATGTTAAAATGCCAAAATCAAAGGGGGGCACGGTGCCCCGGTGCCCTCCCCGTTCCGCCGCCTATGTTATCGTCAGATCCTATGAGGTCATAGATTCAGATTAAATTTTTCACGCTGAATCCGGTGGGACCATAGATCCTAACCTGCAGTTTCCTTCGATGTCCACAAAGATCATAGATCCATCACTCGGATCCATGCACGTGTCTGTAGGAGGGTCCGTAAAAAAACGAAACGGGTACTTCTGTTCCCTTTTTATTTCCTTTGTTTACTCCCCTGTGTACCGACGGATCGGCCAAGTCTGGCACCAAGAACAGCTGAGGTGAAGCGCTACTCCAGCTGCACTGGGATGGCTGCGAGCTGTAGACGATGTTGCCGGCGGGCGTGGTCTGATGCAGTAGAGCTGAACTGGCGGCGATGCTGACTTCCCCCACCTGCCTACGGAGAACCGATCCGCATTGGTCGGAATCCCGCTCAGGAGTACAGCTCCTGCAGGGCGCAGCCCGGATGCTCAGCAGCTCATCAGAGTCGCACCTTTGCAGTGATGATGATTGCGATGGAAAGTGTTTGTGACTTGTGAGTGTTCAGGCATTTGCATTCAAATATACATGTTTTAATCATAAAGCGTTTATTCACAGAAAGGATTTCGTAGACTGATCGCAGTAGGTAATATTTGGACATTACTTTCCGAAATCGAACCGAGACAGGGCACCATCCCCCGCGCCTCAGACACGTATGACCAATGACCATGCATCCGCGCAGCTCTGCGCCGACCGTTACTGGGGGTCGCCGGTAGACTGGGGAGGGAGCCGCCTCTGTTCAGGCACGCACATTGCAGGGGCGCAGCCAAAGATGGGGGGAAACACTGGTCTTAAACCCCTCCCAAATCTAGCAGGCGCCCTCTGCGAAGACGATCATTTCCGGGCGCCGAAGGCGCCTTTCCCGTGTCCAACACTCTAGGCGCCCTCGACGGTAAGCCATTGCGGTACCTACACCACACGGCACTGGCGCTAAGGCTTACAATTTCATATCTTTAATGAGTGAAGACGCGAAATTGGCGCCTTTCCAACCCGAAATTGGCGCCCTACTGAGCCAAATTTCGCGCCCTCATCAATTCAAGCCCCCTCCGAATTTTTTCCTGGCTGCGCCCCTGGCGCATTGATGCCCTCCTTCGAGCCGATCGGAGGAGGAGCCTCCAACGCCAGCTGTCTTCCGTTTGTCAGCCAAGAACCCTGGGCCCTGTTTCACCGCCCGACGCTGCGCGCGCTGCAGCGTGCTGGGAGCTGAGGCGTACCCCTGACGTCACTCGAATGACGTTGCGTGCGATCCGTTAGCTTATGATGAATCGCGTTTGGAACAGAGGTCCTAATGAACCAAGTACAAAGAGAACAGAGGTTTGAGTGCGAATGCTGCTAGCGTGCTGATGGTGCTGGCGCTTGGGTGCTAGCGTTTTGCGATGACGCCATAGCGTAGCGTCAGAGGGAAGTTTGTTGATATTGCCATGGAAACCCAACGCGCCGACGCGCGCAGCGCACTGCAGCGCTCCGCCGTGAAACAGGGCCCTGGGCAGACCATTCCTTGGCTCGGATCAGGATGCGGTCAGCCCACTGCACCATCCTGATCGGCACAGCACCGGTCCTCTTTCAAGCTGCAGCAGCCGCCTTCTGCGGGCTGTGACAGCCAACCGAAACCGCTGTCTGAGGTAGTTTTTGGAGCTGATTTCGAATTTAACAACCATTTGAACATTTACGAAATAGTGCTGGTGCCTTCGTAACATGTTACGAAGCTGCAGTGACAGGTGACACCTATCCTAATCGGACCATATTTGGCAAAGTTGTGGACATATTGCGTTTTGCGGCATAAATGGCGCATTGGACAAGGATGGTGCATTGCGGCAAACGCGGTGCATTGTTATTGTCGTTAGAGCATGCATCATAACGCCAAATCGCATCCTAATCGGACCATGTTCGACAAAGTTATGGACACTTCTTGACTTGCGGCGTAAATGGCGCATTGTGACAAATGTGGCGCATTGCGGCAAACGCGGTGCAGTTGTCCTTGTTGCTTAATAATGTATCCATCCACCAAAATCTAGTCCAATCGGACGATTTTTGACAAAGTTATGTACATTTGAATATTTCACTATAAAATATCTCCGCAACGGAGGTGCCCAGATTTGCACGTGTGCCACGTGACCACCGGTGGTGCAAGCAGGACTTGTCCCCTCACCGATTGTACCATTTCAGACTTCCTGACTGGTGCTGTTTTCGTGCTATAAGGCCACAAATCGGCAAAAACACCATAACCTGGGAGGTACTCGACTCAAACACGTGGCCACGTGGCACGTGCCGGACCTGTGACAGCTTCACCGTTCACGCCACGTAATGACCCATCGACGTGGCCATCAGCATGTAAAAGATGACCCCGGCCGGTGTCACCATCTCTGAACAGTGGACGGTTAAACTCGAAAAATGGGAAAATTTAGGGAAATTTCACCTTTCTAATATATAATTTCCCCAAAATTTTAAATTTTTCATTTTACAAAAATTCCGAGATAGCAGTTTTTTAGCCCCCTTCATTCTGTGCTTATACCCGTTTTCAGATCGACCCTATCATAAAAACTGACGGCCTGACGGCTATTTCCCCCATTCCTTGCATTTCACAATGCTAGTATATTTAAGCACCAAAATTGACCCCGTGCCACGGCACGTGCAATAGCACGTGCGCCACGTGACCGCTGGTGCAACAAGCTGGACTCGTCTCCTCACCGGCTGCACTGATTTGGTGTCGCTAGCTGAAGTCGTTTCTGAGCCATAGGACCCCCAGTTGGCCAATGTCGGATTTTGCACGAGGTTACCCCATCAAACACGTTTGCACGTGGCACGTGCTTTTCAATCGCCCCATATCTGACCCATACCTTGTGGTAGCCGACACCCCGGGGCACAACATA